GGGGGGGGGGGGGGGGGGGGGGGGGGGGGGGGGGGGGAGGGACTCTCATGTATAGCATGCCTTGCCGTCTAGATCATACACCACATGGGATTCATGTATTGCATGTCTTAGCGGCTAGACCATGGACCACACAGGGGGCCTACTCATATATTGCAAGCCTTAGTGGTTCAGGTGAGGGGGGGAGAGCTTGACCACCGATGCAAGGAATACGCGCACTTGCGTCTTTACGACAATAGAAACCCAGCTTGAAATAACTACCCTATGCTTCAAGCAGCCGGGGCATGCCCCCATCGAAATTCGGTACGAAGGAGAGTGCGCAACACCGTTGCCACACAGACCAAACTATAGACCGGTGCTTTCTAACCGCACGGATACATAGGGCATCCCCACACAACACACAACACACACCACACCGAAAAACTTGGGTACGCTGTGTGTCAGCCCATCAACCTCGCTCCAATAGAGCTTGGAAGCAATTCGATACGTTCAAGGCGACGTCTTCTAAGCGAATCAATTTCTCAGGTGACATCCAAAACACAAGGCTGAAGGCACGGTCATCTTCACGTCGATATCTTTTCCCCTTCCTTCTTGCTCTCGTCAGATAGCAGCTCATGAGCCATAGGCATGACTTAACCGTCATCTTCAGCTCACTAGCGGCCAGAGAAGAGAGCTGCGATCGATACCGCTCATCTTAACTTCCAAGCATAGCTCGAAAAACCATTACCCCAAACACCCACCCAACACAACGTGAGCGGTAACACACGCAAAGCTCTCGCTCTCTTGAGACACGGAGAGCCCAACATTTACCAACAAGAGCGAAGTGTTTATGTCGTTGCCATTTGACATACCTGCTCTTCTGCAACCTGGTTCTTTCGGGCGGTGGCCTTGGCCTGCGCCAGGGCTCCCTCCTTCAGCAGCTGCAGCATTCGCTCCTTCAAGCGGGGAGGGCAGTACTGCTCGCAAAGCCTCTGTCAAAACGATCGGCGTCGGGCACATGCATGCACGACGTTGGTTCGAAGTCCGCACCGGAGGACAGAAAAAAACAAAAACAAAAAAAGCAATAAAACAATGCAAGGGTGGCACGATATGAGACAAAACAAGCAGAAAAGATAAACTAAAGCGTGGCACCATGTGGGGTATGCAACCGTAGTACTGGTACTGCAGGTCCACAAACGGGGGCCGAAAGGAAGGAACGATCTACTGGAAGAAGCTGGAGGGGGGGGGGGGGGGCGGGTTGGGTCATACGTTTTGAGAGAGACCGACATCGACAGCGAGGGGGGGACATCGATGCACTGGTGCGCACCAGCTGGCTACAGGCGACAGAGAACAGTGGGGGGCATCGTGTACTCCCGGTATTGATCGACCGGACTCCCATGCACGCATCTCTGCACCCCACAGGCACGATCTCACCAACAACAACAACAACAACAACAACAACAACAACAACAACAACAACAACAACAACAACAACAACAACAACAACAACAACAACAACAACAACAACAACAGCGACACAAACCTGTGGCGTGAGTCCGTCGAAGTTAGCCACGGTCACGTCCGCCCCGTGATCGATGAGGATGGCCAGGACAGCGGGGGAGTCGCAGACCGCAGCGTGGACCACCCCGTTGCCGTTCACGTCCACCGCCTCCAGGTTCGCTCCCCCCTCCACTAGCAGGCGAGTCATCACTCTCGACCCCTTGGGGAGGGGGACGGGGACGAGCGTGCGCGCGAGACGGTTGTGCAAATGTGATGGGAGGGTTGGCGGGGTATACTCATGAAGCCGCATGTCCTAGCTGTCAGACCATTGACAGCATATCCTCGAGCATGACAGCATATCCTCGAGCATTGTTCCCACGGGACCGTTTGCCGATGGCCGATCGAATCTTCCTCCACCTTACCATAATTGCATTCCCAACATCCTATCCGTATCACATCCCAAGGGAGGTTCTAGAGCTTACCTTGTAACACGCGAGGTGAAGAGGCGTTTGCCCGTGCCTGTCGGCCTCGCTCAGCGCTCGCGCATCACCCCGTGCGACCACTTCCTCCACCTGGGCAAGGAGTGCACAGCGAGATGATCATCACATTCCGCCCAAAAACAAATTGACATCGATACCCCCGTGGAACGCAACACGCACAAAGTGCAAGCGACCCAGGAGAACAGGCAGGGGGAGGGGGGTGGGGCGTACTCTTATGTTTCGTATGCCTTAGCGGTTAGACCATTGACCACGCGTCCTCGAGAGGATGGAGCATTATTCCCACAGGACCAATCACCGATGGCCAACCGTTCCCTTCTACTTTGCCAAAGGTGGCTCAAAAATGTCTTCCCTAGTCTGTCTATCCTAACGATATCCCTTCCCGCCTTTTCAACCCACCTCCTTTGCCCCAGTACAGCTACCGTCCTTTCCTCTCCATTCCATGCCTCAAACATCTCCCTGTACGTCCCATCTATTTTTGCCAGCTCAGTCACGTACACTTCCCTCTCCTTCTTGCACAACGGACAGTCCGCGACCATATGAACACGGTCTTCGCATTCGAAGCCGCAATCACATTTGA